CTGGTCGGCCCTCTAGGGGCATCAGGCAGTGGGAGCAAGGACACCTGCAGAGGCCACTCCCGCCCCCCCGTGTCCTCAGAGGCCTGCGGGGGCCAGGTACAGAGCAGGGTAGGAGCCTGAGGAAGGGCAGGCTCTACCTCCAGGGGTCCCCAGATGTGCATCGGCCTGACCCACCAGAGGTAAGGCTTTGGGTGGCCCCCAGCCACTCATTCTGGGACCTGGGGTCCCAGCCGCTCACAGCCCCGCGATGGCCTCCACCCAGGCTAGGGTGGCCACAGGTACCCCCAGAGTCCCACAGCCCTTCCCCCAAGCCTCACCACAGCCCCCCCTCCCCCGCCAATCCTGAGCAGCCCTGTCCCACCAGCCCTGGTGGCAGGTCTCAGCCCGTCCTGGACACCCTGGAGCCTCACCAAGGGTCCTGCCCTTCTGCCCTGTGCCACCCAGTGCTCAGACGAGTCTGGGACTTGACCCTGCCTCCCGTCTTCCTTCATGAGGAGGGGACGGCTCCTGTGAGGGGCTACAGCTGGAGGGAGGCGGTGGGGCAGGGTCTCCCCTGGAAGCACCTCAAAGGCCTGTGGTTTCCCCGGGACCTCGGCCCTTCCCCTGCCCGGGCCTGCCTACCTCACAGAGAGGCTGGTCTAGGAGGCCACAGCTAGGGTTTCACTTCTGTTTTGGGGGGACGATTAGTCACATGAGGTGCTCTCGCCCTCCCCACCCTTCCTCTTCTCCAGTGGCTCACAGCAGGGTTTTTTGTTTACCCAACTTGGACTTTGAAAAGAACTGGGCCCTCAGCTGGAGAGAGGGGGAAGGAGCTGGGTTCCGCCCACCCACCCCCACGTTTTGGCAGGGTGGGCCCTGGGCCCCAGCTGGGGATAACACTTGGGGCCTCAATGTTCTGCAGCCGGGGGTGTGACAGTCCCCACCTCATGTGGCAGCTAGGAGGAAGAGATTGAGAAAACCACAGAGCAAGTAGCTGAGCTGTGGTGGATGCTTCTGGAGTCACCCCTGTACCACCAGAGCGACTGCTGACCCACAGCATGACAGACAGCCTTCAGGGCACCGTCGCCTGCCCACGCTGTCTCCTTCAGGGGCTGTGATCATGATTCCCATTGTATGGATGGGGACACTGAGGCCCGGGTGGTCAGGGCGTGTGGCCCGGGCGTATAGCCAACAAGCCCAGAGCTGGGACTCAAACCCATACCCGCCCCTGAACCAGCCAGGGTGATGGGGGTGGGCGGGGCTGCTCAGACTCCAGTGGTGACAGACGGCAAGGTCACGGCAAGGTCACGGCATCCTCCTTGGGTGTCACTTTGCTGCCCCAGTGCCAGGGGTGGGGTGGTAGAGACCAAATAGTAAATCAGGCCTCCCTCCCCAAACCGTAGATGGGGTGGAATGCTCTCCCCTCCCAGGTGTGAGG